TCTAAAACATTTCTTTGTTTTTTTGTTTTTTTTAGCAGACTACCATTACTAATTTGCAACTCTATGTTGTAAATATGTATATTTAAAAATAAACAACCAAAAAGTAAATCGACATAATGGAAATATGTTTTGCGGTTCAGTGAGGGGGTCAACTGTAAACTCAGTAACAACTCAGAACGATGTACTGACAGAGTGAGTCTGATTCAACTTCTAACTCAAGAGCAAGAGTCTTTTTCACCTGGTTTTAAAATAAAAAAAGAAAGAAAGAAAATTAATGTTCTTATAAAATTGTTTTAAAAATGATTGTAATTAAAACCATCTTAAGACTTTTATTTTTATGAAATCTTTTATTTTTTATTTACAATATAATTAATAATTAATTAATTTATGTCTAACCTGAAATATTAAAAAAAAACATTTAATAACTTCCCTTTTTTCCCAGAATAAAATCGAAACCCACCTTCATTTAGTTAATTTTCTACTTGGAAATACTGAACATTACAGTTGTTAAATGCATTGAAAATGTTGAGTCAGAATGTCTTCAAGCCAAGTACTTTGTAATGCCTCACTGGAATGCTCTTTAGCACCTTCAGCATGATTAGTTCATGTGACTCACCGACTGAAAATCTATGTGGACAACATGACAACCACCAAAGGGGAAATGAAAGTAAGGTGGGACTTTTGAATGCTGAAAAACTGCAATAAGATCAGTAAGCTTCAGAAGAAAATAACTAGATTAAATGTGAGGCTGGGACAACAACGGTAATCCAAAGGAGACCACTACTGGATGTTTAAAATACTTTGCAAGTTGCAAATAAAAATCCCCCAACATTTCTTCGACACATCAGGGACAGTTGGCAGTTGACTGGGGTGTGGCATCCACACCAATACTATCCTGTGTATTTTTCATAGTATTGTATTCTGCGTATTAACATTAAAGTTCTCCTTTCAGTCACAACAGTTAGGTAAATACCACCAGCACTCAGTGGTTAAACGGATCGTAGTTAAACCGTAATCCATACGGACCAAGCCCCACGGTTCGGCACGCATATGGTCCGCGGATTAATGGCAAAATTTAACCATAATAGAGTATAAGTTTATAATTTGTTCGTATTTACACAAGCAAACGAATTTTAAACAATTCCAGAGAGAAAAGGCGAAAGGGAACTCGATTCGTTACTCGCGCGCTGTTCTCTACGCGCACAGCCGCACACTCAAGCGTTTCAGATGCCGCGCGAACACCGAAATGAATCCTCTTCTGAATCCTCTGAATAGACACATACACATACAATTATGACAAAATACCCATCTCGACAAGCATTCATATAAACGCAGTCAGTTATATCTCAAGTGAATGAAAACAGCTGAGAAAGAAATCGGATGTGAAGTGTATCATTATATCGGATCCGTGCATCAGGTCTTAAAGGGACGGCGGCATATAAATACTGCTGCTGTCATTAATGATCACCAAACAAAACAGCTGTGATAAAAATCGATATTTAATTTATACAGTGAACACTATGCAGTGTTATTTTCCCTAATCATTACATTTCTGTATTTGAATACTACCAACCTTATTTTATTTGTAACATATTCTGTTGTATTTATCTATGCTTGTAATTTGTGTATTTGTTCTTATTTTTACTGGCTGTTCTCTTGTCTCTTTAATCGTGTTTAAACTTTCTTAGTAAATCTAGTAGTATTTGCTGTGGTATCAAAGAAGTACTTCGCTTTAAGTAATAAATGGAAAGTTAAATTGAAATATTTCTTGCTGATCTGAAAAATGATCCGATCCGTGGGTCAAAAACCGTAATGTGATCCGAACCGTGAGATTTGTGATCCGTTGAACCACTACCAGTACTACCACCTTTGTGACATACACGTAACATGCATCATACCTGTTTGTGAAATGATAGCCAGGCGGGAGGTGTATGTGGGGATGAAGCGGAGGAAAAGGGGATCCACGTGGACCTGCATTGGGGTGATGGCCCTCATCATGCGCAGGTCATACACCATGAGGAACCGGTCACATGACAGTCCATTCAGGCCACGGCTCGAGAAGCCACATGCCGCCAACAGGTTACCGTGCACGTCAAAATCAGACAGGCTGCCAGAGAACGCGTCAAATTCATGCTCCATTTTAAAGGTGCGTAGATCACGCAGGGAAACCTATGACAAATAATTGACACAAATGCACAAATCACAATGAAGAGATTAAATTAATATTGATTACTATATATTTTACTACAGAGACTATATAAGTTTGTGCATATTGATGAATGCATTTGAAAAATAATGTCATTATGTCATCTGTCATTATTTATAAATCTATACCAGAAGTCAATAAATGGAAAATAAGGTTAAAATTTATAAGGGAAATTATCTATTTTATGTATGGTTAGATATAGTATATTGTGACCAATTCAAAATTTTATTTACCAATGTTGTCTTTTAGCTTTTTTGCAGTTTACTTTATAAAAAATGTGTAAAAAATGTGTTAAATACAATTTAAAAATAATAATAAAAAATTAAGTTTTAAAGGCACAATATGTAATTTTCGCCGCTAGAGGGCGCGTATTCAAAATAAACAAAGAGGCAAAGGCGTAGTTTGATGACGGCGTGACTTAGTGTGGAATCATGGGATTTGTCGTCTTCATCCCCACAGCCGAAGCAATCCGACGGGACTCGGGCAGAAATCATGATCATGGATGAGCTTATGATTTATTAACGTAGTAGAATGAAGCAGGTTGAGGCTGAAAGCCGCCGAACCGAAACGAGGCCGCTGAACGAGCGTGACACACGGCTCGAAAGCAGCGGAGCTTTAATTATGCCACAGTCGACCGCTTCCGCTCCTTCCGGCCATGCGAATGTGGAGAAAAAAAGCAGTGCTGTTTTATCATACTACATACGTTTGAAAGTTCTGTTATTATGCTACTCTGTGCGGTCGTCACCGGTCTAATAAAACACATAACATATTAAAGCGTCTTTGGTGTTTCCATGTTTTCTACAAAACAAAACCAGAAATCGAGGGGTTATGACGTCATTGGCAGGCGACACAATGACACTATGGACACGCTCCGTGTCACTAGTTAAAATTGCTTATTTCTCTGGATTTAAACATTCTTCAAAACATTTGGGATAATGTAAGTGCACAAGTCAGCAAAATATATAACACTGTTCTAGTGGTTTTTGGATATCTAAATAAAAAAATCTTACATATTGTGCCTTTAAGTAAATGTCAATTACATGCTGGAAAATGACATTACTGCAGACATTTACTAATGAAATACCAAAATCTTTTTCGATGTTTTTCAATGAACCACAATATAAGTTGTTGTGGTGAGACAGATAGATCCATGCACATTAAGCTCTTCCACTTAATTTTGTGGACAAGCTGAAAAATCCAACTACCAAATAGTCTGAGCTGATCAGCCTGTGAGAAAATTAGGAATGTGTGAAAGCACAAAAATAAAAAAGCCCTATGAATTCTACCTGTGTTTACAGCTGAAGTGTAGGCAGCATGTTCCCACATTAGCTCAGAGCAAAACTTTTCACACACAACATCCCTCTATTCTGCGGGAAAAGAGAAAGGAGGAAACAATTTGTTCCACATCCATTTTCGCTTTACTCCTTCACTCACCTTGCCAGATGTGTGACCGCAAAAGAAGAAGCGATTGGACTGTCTCATGATGGCGACTCCAGGCACCTCAACAGTAAACTAAAGTGACAGTGGAAAGGAAATGTCAGGAAAAAATCTCTGACTATTTAAATACTGAAACATCCTCTAATCTATTATAGATAAGTGTAAAATTCCCATAACATTATATCCCACAAAAGTCATAAATCATTTAGATTATAAAATGAAAAGAAAACTTTTTTCTGTTAATCTATTAATTAATTTTATTGTATACAAATATCAAAATTAAATACAATTATAAATAAAGATAAATTTTATATATATATATATATATATATAAGTTATTTATTCAATCATCTTAAAAAATCATTAAATTATTAAAAAATTGTATATTATAAAGCTGAACAATAAAATGTCCATTCTTTCATCTATATATTTTTAAAAAAAGTAAATGAATTTACGGCATGTGCTGCTTTTACAAAGTCAGTGAGCTGCCTACCTAGACAGCATTTTTATCCGCATGAGTTGAACAAGCACATTCCAATTCTGGATGACGCGCCAATGCTTCCCAAAACTTCTGTCTAGGTAGGCAGCTCACTAGGTTTTGAAACACAGCAATACTGTTGCACACTACGTAAATAAACGGGATGTTATCTTATCGAGGTGTGCGACATCTATACTCAGGATTTCAATTCGTTTCTAAAGTTCTTTCAACAAACTAGCAGGAAGGGACCTAAATGTGTATTGTGGACATTTAACAGGAAAAAAAAACAATACCTTTAGAATACAGTTATCCTCGGATCCATATGCTCTCACACTACTCGCTTCATTCAAAACAAAAACAAGCTTGCACTTCCGGGTGAGATTGAACTGCATCCGGAATCATCATAGGCGCTTTAAACAATATTATTTAAATTAATTGTAGAATAATTGAAAATAAAATGATAAATTAGCCTACATATTCCCTACAAGCTGGCTGAGACATATCTAAACAAATTCCTACACAAAATACCCTGATGATATAATCTGAAATAAAAAATACTTACTAAAATACTGAAATAAAAAATTAAAAAATTAATGAAACAAAGTAAAACACATTTTAAATCCTCGATGTGGTAATGGTCAGATGGAGGAGAGAATCTATGGCTGTGTTTCAAACCCTCTGCGCTGCATACGCACGTGCCGCACACACACGCGCTTAGAATGCTGTCTACGTAGGCAGGTCGCTAGGTTTGCAGACACAGCCGCAGAGTCTCTATTTCCTGGTTACTTCGCAAGGTGGGTGGCTGTCATATGACAACATTAGCTCTTTATTTACACCAGTTTAATGTACTTTAACGTTGAGCTGTTTTTATTGCTTGCTTCATTTGTGCTTCATGACTCTTCTTCATGGCGCTTTTTGCCATCTTTTATCAGCGACGACTGAACTACTGTTGAATCCACTAGCCGGATAGCTAACAGTGTTCGGATGATAAATTTGCATGAATGGTGTACATACTACGCATTAGACTCCGCAAAGTACATATTAGTCTCGGTCGCTTGTAAACAAGTTATCGTCGCAGACGTTAACGTTATGTAATTGTGATAACGAATGTCTCATTGTACAGAGCATGGTCTCTGTTAAAGGGCATCCTTGTATGTTTTTAATGGCTTTGGGTGTTTGCATGAAGCATATCACGGGTGTTGTTTTCGTGCAGGATGAATGTGGGCGTTGCTCACAGCGAGGTGAACCCAAACACGCGGGTGATGAATAGCAGGGGGATCTGGCTGGCCTACCTGCTGCTCACCACTGCCCTGCATGTGGTCTTACTCAGCATCCCTTTTCTCAGTGTGCCTGTGGTGTGGACTCTCACCAATATAATTCACAACCTGGTCAGTCCATGCAAGAAATCTTTAAAGGAATAGTTCACCCAAAAATTAAAATTTTCTGAAAATGTACTCATCCCCAGGCCATCCAAGATGTAGATGAGCTTGGTTCTTCATCTGAACAGATTTGGGAAAATGTAGCAATATATCAGTTGCTCAGTTGTTCTGATGGGTGCCGTCAGAATGAGAGTGCAAACAGATGATTAAAAACATCACAATAATCCACAAGTGATCCACACAACTCCAGTCCTTCAATTAGTTAAACTCATGTACATCTTGGATGGCCTTGGGGTGATTAAATAATAAATAAATTGCTTCAAGTATTCCATTAAAATGTTTTTTTAAAGGAATGATAGTTGACCCAAAAAGAACAATTCTGTTATCATTTACTCAATCCCATTGTGAATCCTTCACAGAACACTAAAGCAATAATAAAAGAATCAGCTAAATGACACTTTAGTCATTAGTAACATTAACAAAGCCACATCAAGCATCAGTAATTGTGATATTGTGTCTGTATATAATAAACATGTACAAGTTGTTTTCTTCGTTCAGTGGTCAAGTGTTAACTCACTTTTCTGCCATCTAGGCCATGTATCTCTTTTTACATACCGTCAAAGGCACGCCGTTTGAGACACCGGACCAAGGCAAGGCACGATTGCTTACTCACTGGGAGCAGATGGACTACGGCGTCCAGTTTACAGCGTCAAGAAAGTTCCTCACCATCTCACCTATTGTACTGTGAGTCATATTCATATTTCTCTAGTAACTGACAGAAATAGGACCATATGCGATTAATATAAACTGCTTTCTTACGTCATCATATAATCAGTAATTACCTATTTTTTAATTATAATTCTGTATCAGCTTTTATTATTTCATTTATATTCTTTATTACATTTTATTCTATTTTATGATTATACATTTTTTATTGTTTATTCTCAATTATATATAATCTTTTACAGTATAATCATAAATGCTGTTATTTTTTTCGTAGGTACATCTTGGCCAGCTTCTACACCAAATATGATACTACTCATTTCCTAGTAAACACAGGCTCACTACTAAGTGTTCTGCTTCCCAAGTTGCCTCAGTTTCATGGAGTTCGTCTGTTTGGTATAAATAAATACTGATATGACACTTTAGCCCACTTGTGGATGGGATGTAGCATCATGGAGATAAAATGAGATGACTGAAATTCCTTTATTCTCCACATGATGCTTCCTTGGTCCAAAGCCGTAAGGCCTTAAGGAACCAAAACTGCACTGGACTGAAGTACACTATTTAAAAAAAGCTGAGCCTTCCATGCTCAGCTTTATTCAGTCCATGGCGTTTCTTTTTTTAAATCCTGTCTTACATCTCCATCACAATTTCTAGATTGATCACATTCAAGGATGTTTTTGACTGCATTGCACCAGACAATGTGCCAAATTATCACCTGCTGATATAAATTTTTATTAAGGTTCACTTTGGATAAACCTATTTGCCACAACAAGCTCTGTCACTGTGGGGTCAAAGCATGATAGCGCTGAATTACAATATTCAGACAGTTTTTGTCAGTGTTCTAGTTAGTGCTGGACAGAAGTACACTATTTAAAAAAAGCTGAGCATTCCATGCTCAGCTTTATTCAGTCCATGGCGTTTCTTTTTTTAAATCCTGTCTTACATCTCCATCACAATTTCTAGATTGATCACATTCAAGGATGTTTTTGACTGCATTGCACCAGACAATGTGCCAAATTATCACCTGCTGATATAAATTTTTTATTAAGTTTCACTTTGGATAAACCTATTTGCCACAACAAGCTCTGTCACTGTGGGGTCAAAGCATGATAGCGCTGAATTACAATATTCAGACAGTTTTTGTCAGTGTTCTAGTTAGTATATATACAACATGGACAACTGCAGTAAATAAGTTATGTTGAATTATTAGAAAAACTGATTTTGATTTGAATTTGAATTGTCTTATTGCATTTTTCATTTCATTTGCTCCATAAATGCAAAACAGTGATCTGTGACAATGTATGAATGTGATATGATAAACAAGCTTAAAGTGCTCTCTTAAAGGGATAGTTCACCCAAAAGTGAAAATTTGATGTTTATCTGCTTAAAATTTTCATTTTGGGTGAACTATCCCTTTAATATTCATTGCTTACGTTTTTCATCATATCATGAAACATTCCAATTTGAGGCAATTGCCTTGGTGCGCATACATTATAATTATAGATTTTCAAAATGTACAAGTCTGTATGGATCATGTTTGTTCACAATATAAAAATATAAAAAGTGAAACAAAAGTGGGTAACAAAAGTTTGAGACCACATTGAAAATGAAGTATTCAAAATCTAATCAGTAATCTGAAAGTTTCAGAATGTTTAAAAATAAAACATTAGAATGTTAAATGAAAAAGAAATAGTATATTCTGCACTTTTTACGTTTTCCATGTTCCTTTTTTATGTTAAACGTACGTGATGAGATGGTTTTTGGGTCGTTCTCAAGTAACGCTGGAGATCACGATTATCAGGTTTTACACAAACTTGTGGAGTTCATGCAGTACATTTAGGCAAAAAGAAGACACACCACATAATCTGGCTTTCTGAAATTTATGATGATATTTAGAGTCATCGTTTCGTTAACATTTGTGATGACATATTTTTTTACTTTTGGACCCAATGTCACAATAAGGAAATGACACAATATGACATTTCAGTATGAAATTTCCAGTCAGGTATGTTCTTTTTTTTTCAGCCCAGTTGTGTGGTGTTGCACTGGTATAATTGAAATGGCTCTTGCACAAGATAACTTATCAGTCATAAAGTCATTTGGACTATAATGCAAAGTCTCAGAGCACCTAATGTGATGATATGATATGCAAATCGCTGCATACATCGATCTATATCAAAGAAATGACATTTACAGTCGCACGTGTGGCAGTATATGACCCTCATTGCTTAGCCACCGGTGTTTAGTCAATATGATAAACATAATTATAATGAACACAACATTAAAGTCTGATGCTCAGAGAGAGTGGCATGAAGTTGCATCATATTAAGAGGAAGCATGTAAATCATCTGAAGCAATCATAATACTACAGGATCAATCTAACCACATGCAGATGAAGGGTTAACGTGGGAATCCTCGCCTCTTACCTGTTGGATAACAACAAACCACACAGGTGAACAAGGAAGAGGTGTAAGCATGAGCCACGAGGAAGCTAAACAAACACACGCACACAGACACAGACTCGGCCGTGTGTCAGTCCGATGAATATGGACACGCATTTGGATAAGTTGTGAAGGTGTACCGGGGGAAATCCGTGAGTTTTACATGTTGCACACCTACACGCGGACGGGGCAAGCCCAGCGACAGCGATAAGCCGATAGCTGGACGGGAATCCCCACCTACAGGCTCAGGTGTCTCCCAACTGCATTTCAGGGAAGAGGGGAATAGTGTCCTCGGCCCACCTGTGCCACCGATTTGCCTAGCATATGTAACACACGCTGTTTATTTACCACGGAAGTACATGCAAATAGTATTGTGGCTCAGTGCGCTAGAATACTGAGGAATCCTGTGCAAGTGACACACGGGGAGCACCGCTGATGTCACCGCTGGAGTGCAAACAGCATTTGCATGAGCTGCAGAGGAAGAACGGCGACCAGGAAGGCTGTGATATCTGTTCTTGCCCGCAACTTTAGATTCAGCCTTTCTAAGCCGATCGGATCCAAAACCAAAAGCTGAGGCGGGATTCCTGAGAGGTGCGTGCGTGACAGAACAAACAATCCTTCTGCTGTTTTCTCGCAATTCTGCTTTCTTCGTGTTCCTGTTCCAAAACCTGCTACAAAGAAAGGCTTGCACTGATCGATGAAGGTCAGCCAAACCACAGCATTTGTATAAAGAAAACCAAAAGCTGATCAGCCGTGCAACTGGTTAAAGAGGGACTGCGTCTTATTCTGCTGACGGCTGCGGAACGACTTTATATTTTTACAGGTTCATTTACTGGAGAGGTGAAGAGGGAATGTAGAAGTGAGTCAGCGATAATAAAAACAAGACCGAAGAAAAGTGAAAATTTTAGGGGAACCTTATTTTTAAAAAGATGATCTCGTTTCTTATTGCAGAGGAAACACGTGCAATAGACGGTTTACGAAGCCCCTAAATACGGGAGAAAAATATTCCAATGATTTTGCGTCTTACATTCAGCTTTACTATTGTGGTTTTCATTTGCAAAGCAAAGAAATACGTGTGGACGCAAAAGCATGTTCACTTCAACGATGCTCTATGAATTGTTACATTTGTGGAGAAAAGGAAAGGTGAAAATATTGTGGGCCACATCTATAGATGATAAAATGTATAAGTAATGTTAAAAGTTTTTTGTCCTTAGAGAAAGGTTGCAAATAAAGCAGTACTAGAAGCTCCTGATGCATTTTGGCACATTATCCAACAACAAGGACAACTATCCCAATGCAAAATCTCCTCTTTCTAAGAAAAAAAAAGGTGAATGGAAATACCCACTATCAACCTTAGTCTTGATGAACAGCTCTATGTTGACATGTAAAGCCCCTATTGGTTTATGCTGCCACCAAGTGGTCACTACAAAGATGTATTTAACACTGAATTTGGAGAGATTTTACCATTTTAAGTTTACAAACTAATGTTAATACATTAAGACACACTGTATTGTATTACTCTGATTTTATTACTCATTCATAAAAACAATCCTTTGACCATAAACAGACTTACAGCTCCAGTCAATGGCCACAAAAAGCTGTATGACATGTGCCTCTTCTGATCAACAGCTTTAGTAGTATAAACGTAAAAACAACACATAAAATACAGTCCATGTAACAATACAGCATTCACAGTTCCCTTCTCACACAGGAAGTCTCTGCACAAATTCAAAGACAAGTAAAATATGAATAAATTAAAACATTTTTTAAAGAAAAATAAATCAATCAAACAACTGTTTTCCTTTCTCACGAACCATGAAAACAACAGGGCATTTTCACATTAATAGTCCATTACGAATGCATCAGAGTCTGAAGTCATGAGTGAAAAAACCTCCAACAGGTACCTACAGAAGAACAGTAAATGCTACACTTGAACAGATCTCAGATCTGCTTAAAAAATTAAATACTTTCCAATGCAGTTCATCGGTCATTTCCCCCGTGTGTTGTTAAGTCGAAGAGATGCCACATCTGGCTTCACATCATCATCCGTCTCCCACCCGTCCTCCTCCTCTTCCTGATTTTCCTCATCAGTGGAGAACAGCTCATCCTCAAAGAACGATCCACCCAGCCCATACTCCTGTGTGTGAACTGACACCTCATTGGACAGCAGATGTGGAAAACCCTCTATGAAGTCTGCAAACCTGAGTGCAAGACAGAGTACGGTTTTACACAACATTAAATAAAAATTACATTAACATTAAAAATTCCTTTACAGTCTTTCTGTATATTTGTTTTTGTATCCGTATTCATCTTATTGAGCATGATTCTTCAACATTCTGAAGCATTGATCATTCAATAAAATCTGCAATATTTTTAAATACTGACATATGAAATAATAGTCAGAAAAAACATTTTTCATTAAGGAACATTATTTTATTAACACTTTATTTGCTTTTAAAATATCCTCTCATACCTCTTAGGGGACTGGAGCCTGGAGACGGTCTTCCAGGTGTTGAGCTCAGGACTGCTGCAGTATTTCCTAAGCTCCTCCAGAGCTTTCTGTGTCTCCACTTCCGACTGTCTCTGATACTCCTCTTCTGTCAGCAGACGCCGTGGCTCAAGTTTCTTTGGCTTCAGCTTCCTTCAGCGCAATCATTCAGCAAGAAGACAATGACTACATTGTTCAACATGTACAGGTGCATCTCAATAAATTAGAATGTCGTGGAAAAGTTCATTTATTTCAGTAATTCAACTCAAATTGTGAAACTCGTGTATTAAATAAATTCAATGCACACAGACTGAAGTATTGGTGTGCTTGGCCAGCAAACTCACCAGACCTGAACCCCATAGAGAATCTATGGGGTATTGTCCAGAGGAAAATGAGAAACAAGAGACCAAAAAATGCAGATGAGCTGAAGGCCACTGTCAAAGAAACCTGGCCTTCCATACCACCTCAGCAGTGCCACAAACTGATCACCTCCATGCCACGCCGAATTGAGGCAGTAATTAAAGCAAAAGGAGCCCCTACCAAGTATTGAGTACATGTACAGTAAATGAACATACTTTCCAGAAGGCCAACAATTCACTAAAATGGTTTTTTTTATTGGTCTTATGAAGTATTCTAATTTGTTGAAATAGTGAATTGGTGGGTTTTTGTTAAATGTGAGACAAAATCATCACAATTAAAAGAATCAAAGACTTAAACTACTTCAGTCTGTGTGCATTGAATTGATTTAATACACGAGTTTCACAATTTGAGTTGAATTACTGAAATAAATTAACTTTTCCACAACATTCAAATTTATTGAGATGCACCTGTACTCGAACAGCATTTATTATAGTTATATACTCACTGATAAAGCATGAAGACCTTGGTAAAAGGGTACTCCAGGTTCTTGG